ACTCTGTTTACAGGCTTGCTCTCCATAGATATCTCAGCTTTGTTTCTTATACAACCTCAGACCACCTGCCCAAAAGTGGTACTGTCCACAATGGATTGGGCCCTGCCATGTCACCCAATAAGCAAAAACATGCCCAACAGGCTTGTTTATGGGCCAAAGCAATGAAAGTATTTTCTTAATTGACATTTCCTCTTCCCAGATGACTCTATCTTATGTCAAACAGAGATCTAACCATCACATAGTCATTTCCAAAATTTTAAAATGAATCACCTAGTGTACGTGTAATCATGACACTGCTGTAAAAAGCCTCTGGAACTTCAAGTTTAAAGATGTTTTGAAGCAAGGTCTCTGTTCAGAATGGGCTGGCCTCAAATCCACTCATCCTGCCTCAGTCCCACAAGTGCTGTAATGGCAGGCATGGTAGAACTTTTCCTCCCCCTCCAGCTGCCACCTTTTATATCATGTGGGTTTTTGACATACAGTTTTGCTATGAAATCCTGGCTGACCTGTCTGACTTTACTCTCAGTGATTCTCTGCCTATTGCTCAAATTAGAGGTAGCAGCCATCATACCTGGCTACAAAATTTCTAACTAAACTCAAAAATCCTCTCTATAGAGAATGTAATTTTCCAAAAGCTACAATTAACAGCGACATAAAGACAACATAGGAGTTTTACAGTTTCCAGTGCTGATAATGGACAGGTGTTTTAAGGACAGAGGCCAAGGAGATTCAGCCCATTCTACCACTCCTTGCTGCTTCTGCCTGTGGCAGACAGGGACAATAAGAGGACATCTGAGATTATAATGGCCCTCAAAGTCAGAGACCTAAGGAGTCATTGTTGGTGGCTCTGCACAAGGAAGACAATTGAAGCATTATCCCAAATATAGAATCATTGATACCTCTGCTTGTAACTGTATATAAAACCATATAGATAACTTGGGAGATGTTTGCTTATCTCTATATTCTATAATCTAATAATATCATAAACAGGAAATAATTATATTTTTAAATGTACTGTGACTATAGTCATCTAATAATGACCACATTTTAAACAAAACCAAAAGCTAAAAAAGCACTAATACTACCTATTTCTCTAAAAATAATTTCAATTATGTAGGATAAGTTTGCAACCAATGCCTTTCATTCATATATTTATAGAGAGGCTACATATATCAAGGGCTATAAACGAGCCTGATATGTGGCAGACATTTCAAAATGTTAAAACCTCTGAGGTAGAACATATTCCTGAAGTTTAGATGCATACAGAGGAGAGAAATGTGGAGTATCAGATAATTACAAAATGATAATAAGTCCAGTTATGTAATTTCAAAGAAAATTAAATTCCTCTCAAAGATCTCCAACTACCATCTTTCTTACGCCTGACTAACAGAAAATAACAAGAGACAAGATAAATAATGAAAGAAAACTTATCAGGCACCAGGGGCCAGGTGGAATTTTCTGAGATGTGGTTAAGTGAGGGAGGGTTTGGAGCTTTCACCCTGGAATAATCTCACAGCTCTGAAGATTACACTATCATAGTGGGTGGTGAAGCACAGTCAACTCTCACCTTTGGAAGTCAAAGACTGCCAAAAATGCTGTCTTTAACACTCAAATCAACAAGTAGATCACAAATTGACTTCATTTCCCATTGTCCAGCTTCTTTCTTTATGTCCTCTGCAGCATGCTCTACTAGCATTTCCTCCACACTCCACTCCCACTGATAGTAAAAGCAAAGGCATCACTCAAGGAACCCTACCAAAATACTCCAGTGTTATGGGGACATGATAAATGACTACTCCTTCCTTGTAGGGCACCAATAACAAAACAAAGAACAACTTGAGGAACCATGAGTTTCTACAGAGCATGGTGGAGAGTTCACTCATAGTTACATGGGTAACACCAAAACAGTCACACCACCAAAGTCTCACCCCAGCATGACTGACAACTTCTCTAAAGCTACATAGACAGAGTTCTCTCCCCCCAGTTATCCTTCTCCTTATATATACTTAGCACCATGGGGCCACAAGCAAGTAGGAAAGAATTACATACAACATACTAGAAGGAAAGAGAGGACAATCACAGATGGGATGACCCCTCCCCTCTTTCTGTGACAGAATATCACCAGTCATCAGTTCAATCTCAAGGTCTCTTGCAAGTACTCACAGCTGCTCCGATGAATGGTGAATGTTATTCTTGTAGAATTATGCTTGCAATACATGGAGCATCAAGATGCTCCTCAGAACAAAACACACACACACACACACACACACACACACACACACACACATAAAAGACACCAATGAAACTTATGGGGTCACACATACACACAAAAAAAGACATGAAAGTAGAAGAGGGCCAGCTGGGAGAAGAAAGGGAAATAATAATGGCAGGAGGAGAAGAAGAGAAGGTAACAGGAGTGATGTATATTTTTAATTATATATATGTATGGTATGTTTATCTATGTATACATGAGTGCATGTGCCCTCAGAGAATGGAGGTTCAGATACCCTGAAGCTGGATCTATAGAAGTTTGTGAACCACCCCACAGGGGTTCTTGGAAGAAAACTTGAGTCCTCTGCAGGAACAGTCTGTGCTCTTAACACTGAGCCATGGCACAAGCCCTGCTTTGATGTTTTTAATTAACATTAACAGAAAAACCATTGTACAGATTCAAATGGTGACCTAGTAAACCATATCATGAAACATGCTCCAAAGAGGGCTCTCTTCCTAAAATAAATCACATACATGAAAGGTATAATACCACATTTAATTTGCAGCAGCACACTGTAGACTTGGGATGTTAATAAAGAAAATGATTGTAAGTATAACCATTTAAAAGTATTTTTAAATAAGTTTTAACAAAGCAATTTGCTCCACTAGCAATAAGGGTTAAAAAATGAAATCCAAGCAAAGATCTTACAAGTTGATACTATGGAATGACACTCATTGGGCTGACTTCATGTGAGAGAAGTGATAAGACTGAAAGCAACTCAGCAAAGCGATGACTAGTCACAGTTCACAAAGTCCTATTGCCATTTGAGATAATGTGAATTGATTTAGCATCAAAATGTACTTGGTTACTTACTTCCAAGGGTCAATTCTATATTCTCTGATGTGAGGTGCAAGACTGTGAAAGTTAGAGCAAATACCCACTGAGCTTCAGTATTCGTTACAGTCCCATTGCAGAAGAACTAAGTCCATAAGAGAAAAAATTAGATCACATATGGGAGAAAATTTAAAATAGTACTATTTCTGTAAGCTAAAGTAAAATTGCAATACAAAATATTTAGCAATTTTAGGATAATTAATATATGACAAAATTGGAATGACTTTAAAACAAAACATCCGGGGGCTAGACAGATGGCTCAATACATAAAGTATTTGCCATGCAAGTGGAGGCTCCATGTCTGATGCCCAGCACCCACATAAAACCTGGGAGCATAGGCCCGTGATCCCAGGATTGAGGTAACAGAGACAGAAGGATGTCTTAGATACTGTCCAGCCAGTAAACTTGAACTGCACACCACACTAACATACATACATACATATATGTACACACACCACACTAACATACATACACACACACACACACACACAGAGAGAGAGAGAGAGAGAGAGAGAGAGAGAGAGAGAGAGAGCAGTGGAAGCAGCATTCTGATGTCTAAGGGAAAAGCAAAGAAGAGCTGAGATGAAGGAAACTAAAAACAGCCTTGTGGTGGTAATAGGTTCAGGCAGTCACTGCTGCCAAATAAATGCTGCTTAACCCCTGGGTTCTGAAACGTGTGTGCCCTCAATGCTGAAAGCCCAAAGGTTGCTCCACAAAAGATTCCCCAGTTAGTTCAATGTCACCCCAGAAGGATGTTAATGGAAACCAAAGAGACCTCTTGCACCTCCTGTGAATTACAGCATCAGTGTAAAGGGTGAACCAGAAGAAGGAAGGAAGACTAAGGAGAACATAGCTGGTGACAAAGTGGACAAACTGTGGAGCAGGGCTGCAGGCTCCTGGGAGCTACCTAGGATACACAGACAAAGGAACAGCAGGAAGAAAAACATAGCATACAGCTGACCTCTGGGGTGGGGAAGAACTCTCCGGGTTCAGGAATAAGCCCTCTACCTTCCCATAATCTCAGGAAGACCTACGCTTTTATGTGGAGTCTAATTTAAAGAAAGGAAGCCCAAGAAGTATGAACAAAGCATGAATAAGTAGAGAAAAGGGTGATAGCTTGAGAGGGCAACTCAAGGAGCACTTAATAGTCAGTCATAGGTTACTTTACGAATAATGTTTTAGGGCTAGGGAGATGGCTCAGTGGTTAAAATCACTCACTGTTCTTCAGAGTTCAATTCCTAGCACCCACCCACCTAGCTCACAACTGTCTGATGTGCTCTTTAGTGTGCAGATGTATATATACAAAAAATACGTAAATACGTAAATAAAGAATCATGTTTTAAAATACATAGTCCAGATATTTATGATCAAACATTATTTGGAGCAACCACTACCAGAATCATGTACAAGCAATCAGAGATGTGGGTAACCAGCCACTCTTTTGCTCTTTTGCTCTGTTTTTCTTTGAGGAAGGATGGCGAGGGGTTGAGGCTGGCTCTCACACTAGAGCTCACTGTATAGCACAGGCTGGTTTTATACTCCAGACCCTACTGACTCAGCCTAGGATGCAGGGACAAGTCATGAGAATTTTACTTTTTCAATATGTCTGTAAGATTTTTAACCAAGAATAAAACCTGGAGAAGTGAAATCCATGTTTATTGCCCAAGATGAGAAAAACAGTATCAGTCAATGATATAAAATTCTGCCTCAATTACACATGTAATTTAAAGACAAGATAGGACTTAGAAGAAACTATACTCAAGAGCTTTAGCACTTTTTGTGTTTTTTCTTTACCAAGAAAATGTTCAACTGCCTTTGGATGCCACATATCTAGGGACATACAGGCTGAACTCACAAAGTCACTACATCAGGAGCAACTCTGAGAGATACTCACCCCGTGTTGATTGAAATTATTTCGATCAGTGGATTCTTCCTGATCTTTGGTAAATCCAGTCTTGCTCCCCCCAACCGCTTTCCATTGTCTTTCTTCTGGCCTAGGAGTCTCACTGAGTGACCTTCAAATCAAGCACAAGACACACATTAGCACGCCACACAAATTCACTGTCATCTATCATTTTCAATAAATATGTTCTGGACTGTATTTGATTTTTTTTTTCTCTTATAGGAGACCAAGGAGAAAAAACTTCCTAAAGCAGATGTGAGCCTTAGATCATGAGGGAGGGAGGGAGGGAGGGAGGGAGGGAGAGAGAGAGAGAGAGAGAGAGAGAGAGCGAGAGAGAGAGAGAGCATTCAAGGACTGAATATACTTGCCAACCTTTGCTCATAGTATGTGAGAACAGCACATTTGAGAAAGGTTCAGTGTTCTTCAAATAATCTCCTAAGGGTGAACACTCCCTGCACTGACCTATACTATAATGCAACAGCAAGGGCTTACATATTAGGCCTGCCTGCTATTTGCAGTCACTATTAAGATATGGATGGTAACTGATGATTGATGAAACAGCACTGAGCACTTACTTACCTGTGTTAGTATTTTCTAGACAGAGACTCCTACTCTCCTTTTTCCCTCCCTTTCTCACTCCCACCTTCACACACAACCACCCACACCCCCCCACACACAAACACACACAGACACCCATACACACACCACACATATATATCACAATCATAAAACCTATGACTAGATAGTTTAAGCAATATCTTGTAAGGTTGCTTATACAAAATGCAACTAGACTACAATATCCATTAAAAAATTTTTCAGTATTGAAAACTTTGAAGTAACTTCAGACATGTAGAAAACACAGAGCAAAGAACATGCATAACCCCTCAGATTGTAGTCACAATTTTACCATATAGTGTTTCCTCTTTGCACTCAGACATGCTATTTTTATGAGTGCACCATGTGATATACCCTATAAGATCATCCATCTTGGCTGTTAACATTTCTACTGTGATATATTGTTTTTACAATTCATCAATGAATATATTACAGCTCATAAAATATGTCCACTGTGAAAACAAAACTGAATGGTTTTAAATAAATAACTACAGTTTTGAAATCATGACAATAATCCTGTTTGGAAATGTTTCCATCAACACTGTAATTTTAGCTTGGCCCATCTCTGAGCCCATGCCAAAAGATAGACATCTGCCACATTTCCAACACCTATTACACAGTAACACTTCTAAGAACATATGCACATAAACCTTTGACAACCCATGTTTTCATTTCTCTTAGAGTCCTAATATAGAAATTGCTGAGCCATGTCGTGAATTTGTATATTACTATCTTAAAAATAACTTCTTTGCTAAGAAATGGCTGTTAAATATTTCCAATTTCATCAGACATACAACTGCTAACATACAATTACTAAGTATTTTCTTTCATTCTACACATTATATTTTAACTTTCATGGTGATGTCTTTTGTAAAAAACTGTTAGTTTAATAAACTTCAAGTTATCAACTACTACCTTCATGGCTCATATTTTTGGTGCTATTATTAGATCTCATTATCTTTCCTAGGGGTACAAAGGTATTCTTTCCTTTTTGTTTCTATTGTATTGTTTGACCTCTTAAACTTGGGTCAAGGGTATACTCTGTTACTTTTTCTGTAGGGCCTATGTTCCCACGTCAATGTTCAGTGGTCTCAGTGCCACTGTTTTGCCATATTCATCCACATGATATTCTTGTCACATATATTAATGTAAATAGTCAAGCAAAGCCATAAGGGCAGTGCTATAATTATTATTTTAAACAACATCACATATAATTTATTACACAGCTTATATTTTCCTACCAAAAAACTATTTCTGACACTTTTTATTACTCCTTGGAATTCAACTTATCATGTGGTTCCACTTCTTTTCTTCTTGTCCAGCACTTCTTTAGTGACTTTTATATAGTAACTCATTTAACAAAAAAACAATATTCCTTGCTTACCTGAAAACATTTTTTTTTATTTTTGCTTCATTTGTAGAGGAATGTTGTGCTGGATATAAAAGAGTGTTGCTGTCTGCATGCTAGATATCAGTTGTCTGTGGTGTTTACTGTTCATGATTAGATGTCAACTATTACTCTTATGATTGCAAAGAACATAGTAAGTCACTGATTCTCTTATGCTTCCCATATCTCACTGTATGGATTTCTACAGTGGCCTATATAGGACTGACTAAGCTCTTTGGACTCATAAAGTGATATTCATCTAGAACAATTTTATTTCTTTTTTTCAAACTTTTTCTGTCCATTCTTCTGCAACTGCCACAATACATTGATTACTGTATGACAGACATGTGTACAACAGGTCCTTAAAGTTGTTTTAGTCAGGGTTCTACCAAGACACAGAACTAATGTATGCAGAGGTATGACTTATTGAGGAAACAAGATTACTTGATTATAGAGGCTAAACAACCCCATGGGCATACAATTGTTCACACTGACACTCTGTGACTGGCAATAAAGTGAAACCTTGAAAAAGAGGGCAGAATCAAAGTTTAGCTAACCAGAATTATCCATAGAAATGATGGAGAACCCAGGATGGAGATGCACAGGAAATAGTAAGGTGGGCTTTAGAGATTCACAGGCTATTCAATCTGGGAAATGTGGAGAACAGGGTCAGCCGATCATTCCTCTTTGGATTCATCCCATTGTTATTGAATTCTCTGACTCGTGACTTTTTATTAATAATGAAAGATTTAGATAAATATATCATCTGTTACCCAATGTGGGACATTATTAAACTACACCAAGACAGCGAGGCTGTCACCTCTCCACCACCACTGCAACTTGCTTTTCCCCTCCCCCAGGCCTTCCCTGTGAGTCCCAGTCTTTTCCCATTGGAGTCTCTATAAAGCAGATTTTATCCTTTAAAAAGTGTTTGGATATCAGTGCCAAATATGAAAATTTACTGATAAGATACAAGCCTTAGAAAGATCAATTAATGAAACTAAGAGCAATATTCACACAAACAGAGGAATTAGAGAAGAACCAACCACACCACTGCATGATGACACTGAAGAGGAAGTGGCACAGGTTATTAGAAAAAACACCTTGGTTTATCCAGTTAGCATAGAATGACCACCAGATGATAGACAAGTCCAATGTTATGCAAAAGTTAACTGGAATTCTGTTGAAGTTTTATGTTTGAACATATTTTTAAAAGCTTTCATGTGGTATGCATTCATCAAATGTTAAACAGATGTTAAATTCATGGGCAACTCAGAACAGAATTATTGAGGTCAAACAGATATATTTTACATAGACAGGTGGTCTTCAAACACTTCAGAGATCTACATAATATGGCATTAAAGAAGTTATAATAACATAAGGCTCTTCATAACAGTGAGACACATCTGATTCTAACAGCACAGCACCAATTTACTTCACAAAAGATTGTGTGATGTTGGACAATGTTCTTGTTCACTGTAAAGATTTGCCACTATACCCCTAGTGTAAGAAGGGACTTTGGGAGCCCATCCCACATGCAGGAATGCTCTCTCAGCCTGGACACATGGGGGCCCAGGTCCTGCCCAGGATGATAATATGACAGACTTTGGGGAACCCCCAGGGAGGGAAACATGAGATGGGGGTTAGTGGGGGGTTGGGAGGGAGGGAAGGGAGAGGGGATTGACATGTGAAGTAGCCTTGTTTCTAATTTGAACTAATAAAAAATAATCTCTTGGGGGGAAAATTAAAAAGATTTGCCATTAGTATTGATTTTATAAAATGTTGAATGACCAGTAGCCTGGAATGAAGTATGGGTGCGGTTACCAGACTAGGAGAATTCTGGGAAGAAGAAAGGCAGAGATGCAGTCACCAGCCAGATGCAGAGGAAGCAAGATGAGAATACCTCACTGAGAAAATTTTCAAAGCCATATGGCTAAATACAGATAAGATAAGAATTATGGATTAATTTAAGTTGTAAGAGCTTGTTAGTAATAAGCCTGAGCAATACACCAAACAGTTTATAATTAATATAAGCCTCTGTGTGCTTACTTACAACTGAATGGCTGCAGGACTGAGCAAAACAGAAACTTCTGTCTACAATTATGGACATCAAAGAACCTCCATATGGAGTTTGCTTTATTGTGGCAAACTTAGGAACTGGGCAAGAGACTACTACCCTTGCCTCGACTACTGACAATATGTTGTCCAAAACGGACAAGCAGGACACAAAAGAAGGCTACTAAAGAACTTTGCTAAGAAAAGTTAGGACAGTCCTTTAAATTTCCTGCTTCACATAAAACTCTGTCACAGCTGGGTGATGTTAGCGCACACCTTTAATCCCAAGCACTCAGGGAGGTACAGGCAGGAAGATCTCTGTGAATTTGAGGCCAGGAGGGAGTTCCAGGCCAGCCAAAGATACACAGAGAAACCAGTCTCAAAAAAAAACAAAAAAACAAAAACAAACAAACAAACAAACAAACAAAAAACAGAAAGAACAAATAAAGTCTGTCAGATATTCTAGGCCTGTAATTTGGATGGCTGCCCAGGCAGCCAAATGTCTCTGTCATGTGTATTAGTTTTGGAGTTGTATGCTCTGCACTTCCTGTTTACTCAGGTAATACATCCTTCTAGAGTCTCTGGTGGGGTTGAAGATTAGATAATTAGAGTTACAGTGTTTCTTATTACCAAATTCAGAAAGAAATTCACAAAAGAGGTATAAATTTATAAGACTGAGGGTCATGAAAGCTTAAGTTATTTATCTAAGGAAGTGTTTTAAGGTCTAAAAAGAGTTTTGTGTTGGTAATACAGTTTACGGTAGAAAGGGAATTATGTACAAAAATTTTTACTTAACAAGATAGGATAGATAATGGAGTATTTACTCTGATTTTGCCAAATACAAATGGACTAGATATTGTAAATATAACTTTTACTTGGTAATTGTTCGTACTGTATACAATTTTACTGGGTTAAGTGATGCACCCAAGCTTTATTTGTCAGAACACAAACAAAATATCACAACAGTTAAGTTTAAAACCTTTCCTTTTTTATTTAGACAAAAAGGGAGAAACGTTACAGGAGATTTGCATTCACTGTAAAGTTAAACCTTCAAT